GAACAAGGACACAAAAAAGAAAGCCCACTCTTTTACAAAAGCAATTAGCCTTTTTTAATTTTACATTGCATTGAAAATTTACATAATAGATTCATACATTTTACAAATAATTTCATCATAAAAATATATTTCTGTACAAAACACTTTTTTGTTCTATATTTCGTCTTTTTTTTTTTTTTTTTTTTTTTTTTTTCAAATGGTGGATGTTTCCAATGCCCCCGGGCAGGAACGGCTATAAGTCTTTCAAATCACATGGGTCTTATTGCGGTCAGTCAGTAGGAAAAGCTTGTGGCAAAATAGACTGAAGCTCAAAAAAAAAAAAGAAAAGTTTACCGTTTTACGACCGGTGGGGGGGGGATTAGAGCAAGTGTTTTTAAGAGGGCGTACCTGTGTGAATGTAACAGATTTTTGTTGATGGCAGGGAGGGGAACCATGTTTTTTTTTTTTTTTTTTTTGTTGGGACTGTTTCAGATTTTTAACAAAAAAAATAAGAGGAGCAAAAATAAATGCAAACCGTAAAAAAAAAAAAAAAAGAAATAATATCACCACAGCAATGCTTCTGAATCGGTAATGAATTTGAAAGGAGTTCTGTGTTAGCTGGTGGCAGTTGGTGATGCTCACAGTCTCAGCAGTCGGGGGGTTAGAAATATAAATACAGCGGATGTTTTCCGTAAAACCCTGACGCCCGGACTCTTTAAAAAGCAGAGTCTTCAAACCAGACTCTCCAGACTAACCGGACTTTTTGAGACGGGCACCAAATCTGTTTTGTTTTCCTGGCATGCGAGGACCAGTAAATATGGTTTACACTTTATGCTACATCTTCACAGCTTTTTTCTTCAAAAATAATTCACCATTGTTTAAATATAATGCATTGTTTCACACTAAAACGTCTTGTACTTTCCGAGCAGCGGTCTGTAGACGGCGTGTGGAACCACCAAAAAAGGCCGAAATCACAAGTAGCAGCTTCCGCTCACTGACAGGGGGCAAAAAAAAGCACGGGTTGCCATCTGTATTACACATTTGTTATCAGAAGGCGACAGATAAGATATGAAATACAGGTGGCAGCCATAGAACACGGAGTTCAGATTATGGGGCTATATTTGTCATAAAATAAAAAGGAAAAGTTGTCTGCGCTTACTCAGTCAACTGGAGGTGTTTTAGCAGGATTTGAAAATGTGTGAGTTCATGATGCAAATGTTATTTAAACCCATTTGAGCTTTTGATGTGCAAAGTGTATTGAGTTTTTGAGTTATTATAGATAAAATAAATAATACTGTGAATACAGGTGGAAATACACCTTGAATATTCTCTGAGATTAAAGAATTAAATACATTTCTGAGAAAAGACAAATCTGCATGAAAGACTTGCTTTATTTTTCAACTCCATCAAGCAAGTACTATATTTTTCCCACAGCTGAAAATCAAATCAAACTTCATTTTCAGCTCAGAAACCAATGATCAGAGGCCTCATCACACTGTTACAATACATTAAGTACTTTCATTTTAAAATACAATGCAGTGAGCCTTTTCAGACGTAAAAATACAGGTATGGATGTTTATTTAATACTTACTCTTGCACCATTTCATTAATGTGTGTGTGGACTTGTTTTTCTGATTCTATTTTCTTGCATCAGTCAACAAAATGTGTATTTTTGCTAATTTAATCTCAGAGACTGTTCAAGTTGATTTTCTTTGAATCTTTGAAATTGATTCAAAATCCAAAAAGAAATTCAAGAAGACTTCATCAAAACACTGCGTCCTATTTTTTTCCCCCTGGAAGTGTTTTTTTCAATTGCCGTCAGGAAAAAATTGACCTTTCAACAAGAAAACTATATGCGCAAAATCAAAGTGATTTGGGCAAGTTCTTTCACGAGGAGAATACTAAAAACTAGAATTTAAGCAGAGCTGATGTTTTAAATCCTGTCTTTGCAATTATCTTGTCTGGTTCATCTCTTATCCAATCATTTTGGTAATAGATTAGATAAGAGTCCCGTTGAAAACAGACTTTTTGCCTCAAAAATCCATCAACTGATCCTTTCTGCTTGACTCCATAGTGTGTGACAGACAAATGCAAACATTAGAAACATACATTATTGTCAGCCATCATATACAAACCGCAAGTTCAGTTAACCGACCGACAATGGTTCCCCCATCTCTAAATGATGGTGATATGGACTCTTAACTGCAGTAGTTTCCACTGAGATGTTAAAATAAAGCAAAAAGTGTGGATTTAGATAAAGTCATGTCTGATTACAGTATGTAATCAGTACAGTCTGATTATAGTAAAGGTCACGGTTACGCAAATGATCGTTAAAAGGATGACAGGGTCTCCGTGGTAATGAGAATGGATGACATCCACTTTGAGTGAATGAGCTGAGCCAAAAGAAACAACGTAATCCACTAATTTAGAGTTTGGGAAATCTGCCTTGTGGGATAAATATGTTCAAATTCCCTTGCATTTCAAACAACGATACCACTGACTCATGATTGGCTCAGTGGGAAAGACAGTGATGGTGAGAGAAGCTCCACGCTACACAAGAAGTTGAAATAAACCAGTTTCATGTTACAACGGAATCAAAAAAATACCGTTTGTGACTTTTTGTGAGCATCACGTAGCTGTAATGATATTTACTTTGATATTTCTTTTCTCTTTTTTCTAAAAACTCTGCTATAATCTGTCTTTCCCCTTTCAGCCCCCTTTCCCTTGTGGTAAATATATAGCACAAAAATATAGGTGGTGAATGCTCCCGAATATATACGCAATAGATTTACAGATCAGAAGATTCTGCAGCAGTAACAAAGAAAAGAAGTTAAGCACTCTCGGAGTGCAGAATCACAGTGGAGCGTTGTCCACAGTCGTAGGGCAGCAACCCTGTTTATCTCTTTCCCTCACCTCTCTGTCTGTTTACATCCACCCGTGTGTCTCCTTTTCTCTGTCTGAAAGCCTGCTCGTCTGTATAAATACCTGCTTTTCTCTTAAATGGATACACTGAAGCGTCTTTTCGAGACCTCTTTCTCTCACTGGGAGGGTTTCGCTGACTTCTCGCCGCTTTAGAACCGTCGTATTTTCGTCTTCACCCTCCCAGTTCGGTCTTCAGCCCGTCTTTCCCTGCGTTTGTCCACCTTCTCGGTGCATGCACAGGTAGTGTCCCTGTAAAATGTGCTTTAGTGCCAGAGCCTTTCTCTGTTTTTCAAAGTCTCTTTCTTTGTTATTTCATCAGAGTCCCCCCCCTCCCGGTGTCGTTCAGTCTCTTTCTGATCAAATTCCTCTTTTAAAGTCACGGGATCGGGAACGGGTTTCCTCCAGGCCACTTTATGTCTGATCTGATTAAATAAACGGAGGGAGGGCTGACCTCTCTCAGCCGATGATTTCAGCTCGGACAGGCTGTGATTGGCTGTGTAAGGACTGTGGGATCTCGTCTTTTTTCTCTCTTAACGTCTCCCTTACCAGTTCAGTGAGGGGCCGCCTCGGTCTCGTTACCCCTCCTCACTTTTTCCACGGGATCGGAAAGGGCAGTTTATCCATTAGATGAGTCAGTCTCTCATCGGTTCTGTTAGTGCTAGCTCCCCCTTTTAGACTCCTGCTAGTTTTCGCTTCGCTCTAATCCCAGCTCAGTTAGGATTACAGCTCCATCTCCGGGGATAGCCTTGTCCTTCGCTTAGGAGTTAGTCTCTTTTCAAAGAAACTTTTGTTGCCGTCCACTAGCCTAAGCCTTCTTAGATTCCCCCTCAAGTAAGAAAAAGACAAGAGACGAATAATTCCTGTCTTTGGTTGTCACAATCTCTTCAATGAAGACTGGAGATTTTCCTGCCTCGCTGTTTAGGGCGTTGTATTCCGTGGTCATTTTTTAAAAATAGGCTTTTGTCCACAACTAGTGAGTCGGTTTTACTGATGATCTGCTGGTGACAGTGTTCTGTCAACTGTCAGTGGTGGACCAAAAATTGGTAACCAGTCTTTGCTTCACAGTGTCTTTGACATCTTCTTCGTGTCACAGCCTTCCCACTCTTAGCTATAGCGATCTGTTAGTGTGACAGCATATTATGAATGAACCCTTCTCTTTTTTCAATTTTTTTTTGCAGTTTATGATGTATAATCATGGCTGGAGCACTCGTGATTTGTGCTCTTCTTCTCCAGGCAAGAAACAGCTGAAGCCCCTCAGCATTTTCTCCTCCAAAGCGTTGTTTTCAAAAAGCAAAAATCTTGCAACTTGGCTGAGATGATCCGAAAAGCAGGTCATGGCTTTACTTGTGAGTAAAAGTGTAACCGACAGAAAATGAGTTTAAATGAGGGGTACGGAGTTTAACGGCGGTTTGAAATCAGATCGAACAGTATCCACGACCTGGTTGTGTTTTGGAATTAGAGTTGGGTGGATTTCTGTTGCGTTGCTTCCTTTCTTTCTCTTGTCGCATCTTGCTGTGAGTTCGATCTGGATGTCTTCATTTTTTTAATGGCAGCAGACCCTTCGTTTGAATTTCTCGATACAAAGTGCTGTTAGTGGAGGGGTTTCTGAACGGTGAGCGGAGGTCCTTTTGTAATCAGACCCCGGAGTTTGGCGATGTCGTAGTTTGAGTCAAAGCGCAAAAGTTTCCCCTTTCCACAGCCTTGTACCCGTCGGGGTCCCTATGGGTGTGAGCCGATAAAGTTACATATAAGGATCATTTATCTTCACACCATAGTGCACACAGTATTCAGATTGGGATCAAATCTAACGGCTTTCCCCTCCACGGCCTTGGCGTTGGTGTTGTACATGGGGTTCTCGAAGGCAGCCTGGCCGTTGTTGTTCTCGTGCACGGAACAGCCAGTGTACTGTGTTTTTGGTGTGGTTCTGGGAAAGAGAGAGATAGCAGCATCAGAGACACATAAACACACTCTAAAAGATCATTTTCTCTAATTGTCTATCAATACTGGAATAACTAAGCGTCCTCTGGACAATAGAGAATGCAGTCTTGGGGAGTAGAGGCATAACAAATATTGCGAACGGGCTTTAAGGGAGATTAAAGCGAGCTGTGTTTTTTTAATAAGCCCAGCATATTCGAACCAACCCAACCAAAACTAATTCTTTCAGTCTTTTTTTTCAGATATTAACAACAGACGCTATCTGCATCTGTTAAAAAATGCAAAAAATCAGTTGGTTGATCTTGTACCTCGCCTCTGAAAAATCCAATTTACCAGCTTCTAAACAAGGATTGTTTCGCAGCAGTTAGCAGCAAACAGTGACTTAACTGCCACTTAGCACCTCAACGCCAAGCCACTCAAGCGAGTGTTGTTTTCACAAATTAGACATCTTAAGATGTTAATGATGCACTGTTTTAGTTTTTCTGAATGACAGTAATGAAAGCACAGAAGCAGCGACTCGCTGACAGGAACACGGCCTTTTTTTTTCTATCGTTAATGCACTTCAGAGTGATGCATGCAGGGTTATTTTCCCGTGGCACGTACCTTTGTTTGTAGAGATAGAAGCCAAAGCCGGTAAAGATCAAAGCAAAGAAAGGCACCAGAATGGCAATAGCCACGGAACTACTGTTGGTACCAAGCTGGGGGGGTGGCAAGTTTTGACTCTCGGACATATTCAGACCTACGACAGACAAGGAGACAAACACTAATTGTCCAATGTGTCTTGGTGGCATGAAACAAAAGACTGTGTGAAGATTGACACACACCCACACACAAACTCATATATATATATATATATATATATATTCATACATATTTATGTAAAAAGAGAAAGAGAGATAGGCTGCAATACTGTTTTAACCATAATATCTGTAGAGAGTCGATAAACAATAAAAGACTGGCATGCCCCAACTGGGTTTCTTTTCAGGAAAATCCCTGAGTGATGGAATATAATTGCTGTGGGAGGCTTTTGGCAGTTGACCTTGTATTTGCTGTTGGATTTTCTTCGCGGGACGCATCGAGATGGGGGGCTCAACCATTTCAAGTCTGATAAACAGCCTTTGTTAGCTCATCAGATTCACTAAGAGTAATGAAGGCACTGGTGGCTCCGTGATCAGTTAATGAGGCTCACGCAAACAGTTTGTTCCAACTGTTAGTGCCTTTCGCGGTCAGATTTCAGTAAAGATAGTTATTGTTTGGTGCAGATAGCGAGCCGGAAAGAAAGAGTTACCCAGTCTTTGCAGTCCAAACTGTCCGTAGTCTTTTCCCTGAATAAAACCTTGGAATACATAACTGGAACCATCGGGTTCTGCTGATACCTGGGCCGAGAAAGGACAAAAGGGAAAATGTTTGAGGAAGACAAAAACGGAATGAGAGAGGTTACAAGTGGAAAAAGGGATGCTAACATAATATTATTATCATCATTATTATGGTCACATTATTAACACAAACCACACAGTGAGGAAATATTACTGACTACCTGGTGATGGAAAGAAACATTTAAGTGGTCGTATGTCCACAAAAGTACCCGATTGAATGGTGTGAAACTGAGAGGCTAATCGTAGACAAAAAGCCCCTATGAATTTCGATGTGAACTTGAATTGTCATCTATATAATTGTAAGATATGATAGTGATCTTATGGAGGAGTGTGTTCTACACCTTTAGCAAATTGCGCATTTGGAAATGAGATTTGTGGAAAAAAAAAATACAAAGTCAGATTACCACAAGAGGAAAGTCTTTACACTCTAGTAAAATAGTCTTTTATAAAAGATGCTCATTCATTGGCTTGTTTGGCATTCAATGCTCTGAGTTTGGAGTCAAACACATTTCTAAGACAACAGTTTGTTCCCACATGAATTTAGTTAAATTGATAGTGTTTTTCTCCACTGAGACTTACAAATCCATCCATGGTCCAGGAGTCATCGATAATCTTGGCAGGGGAGATAGCTGAGTCTTTAAGCTGGCTTCCTTGGTTCACATAGTTCACTTGGTGCATCAGCAACAACAGCCGGGCCTCTGAAGCTTTATACACTCCTAAACCAGACAGAACACAGTCAGTTTTTGTTATGTAATAGATAATATAATCAAATCATTCACATAACTGGATTCCTCAGCATGTGTTTCCTGTTCCCCAGGAGCACCAGCAAGCCACATATATTATAACCAATTAGAAACTACAATGAGAGATTTTTTCTAATGACATAAAAGGAGAACAGCAACCTAAATGCCGCTTTTAATAAATGATAATGGATCAGACAATGGGAGTCACAATTTTAATGCAGATTTATACAAAATTGTAAATTTACTGTCATTCCCTGTGATATCACAAATCACCTTTGTGCTATGATTTGTCTGTAAGGGTGCTTTAGAGGTGTTGGTTGTAAGATTTTTCATATTGAGCACAGTGGACTGTTTTCCTATGCCTCCAGTCTTTATGTGTAAGTCGGAATGGATGAGTTCTGGTTCATCCATCTCCGGCTTTTCAGTTTATATACAGACATCTGACTGATTTCGGAATTATACACCGTCAACAGTCAAAACGACTACTGCTTTAGGAGCCCTCGACAGCTGAGGAAAACTTGACATTTTAAGAAGAGAAAAAAAACCTCCAAGCTTTGAGCGACTGGGCTCTGGTCTTTCGGTGGCTGTGTAAGTACAGGTTTCGCTGTTATTGATCTAAAGCTGCTCTTTTAAGCCAGAAGCAAACATTAGGAGCGGTATATAGCACAGTGTGCGATATGGTTGTTGCAGCCTCTGTTACTTCAGGAACCAATTCTAGCTTCAACAGGATTTGCGCTTTAATAGGGTCTCAACCCCCCTCTGATGGTGTGGAGGGACCCTGGGAGGTATGTGTCGGACTAAATACAAGTGTGTGTATTTCGGGGTTGTAATAACAACATTAAAAAGTAAAGCGTGACAGCTTCGAGAGTTTAGGACACGCTGATAATCCACCATTAGAAAACGGCACAGATCACTGAAGGTGTTGATAGCAGGCATCCCGATGTTCCAGTCTCTTTATATTTACTGCATTACCGATGGATCAATAAAGCATCATGTAGCACCATACAATAAACGCGACGTATCATAAACTAAAATGACATTTTGCGGCATGTTAAGTCCTTTTTACAGGAAGCAATGCGGTACTGTGTGTGGAGCCATAAAGAAACCTGCCTGACAGGAGCAGCTCCATGTTACTGTTGCTAAGGGTAACATTAACTCTCCCGGTTGTGGAGTTGAAGCTGGTGATGCTCAGAGTCATAGGCTGCTTCCTCCCACGGTAATTATAAGAACCCTTCCATACGTAGTTCGGAGCAAAGACATCATCTGGAACTATAGAGAAAAAAAAAAAGAGAACAGGAATTAGATCAAAGGACTGTAGATCTTGTTTTTTTTCCTTCTTGTCTCCTGTTTTTTTTTCCATTTTATCCAAGGCACAAAAACATCTCACTTTGCTTTAATCACAGTCGCGCGGATGATTCTCAGTTCTGGCCTGGGTGTAACTTATTCAGGCACCCAGCCTGTTCTAATTGTAGATCTGGTCTTGTTTACTCCTGATGTGGCAGCTCGGTGTCAGCTGTGTATTGGACGTGTCTGATGATAAGTCGCTGTTGCCTCTCTGTGCTCGGCTCAGTGCTGACTCACATGTCGACTCAATTTAGCCGCCACGTCGCCTGACAGCTTCCATTATACTGTAGCCTCATCCCACATGATCAATATCGCCCTTAAAAGTGTTTACCAGCCTGTGTGAGATGGAACAACTTATTCCTTTGTGCTTCCGGGTGGTTTTAGGGGATTGCTAGCTTGTTCAGCCAGTTAAAGCGGATCATGTCAGGTCACTGGCTGCCTTTATTGATGATGGCTGTTTCTTGTTATGAGAGGTTGCAGTTGTCTGCTTTAAGATCTATCAGCCACTTGGCACGAGTGTGGCTTGACCCCTCTTTCTCCCATATGTCTTTCCAGTATTGCTCAGCCTCAGTTCTGGATGGATCTGTCCTTGCGCTGTTGTTCCCCCTGCAGCTGGGAATGCATTCTGCATGCGTCTTGGCACAACAGGCCATTTATTTTCTTGGCCTCAGCCCTGCCTGCATGACTGAATAGAAACTCCATTGAGGCTGAGGCTTTGTTGGCAAAATCTTAATATAGGCTCAAATGATAGCTCCAAGTTTTGGGGGAAAAAACAAACTATCATCGTGCAACAAAAGACTGTACCTAAATTGTACCTATTACAGGCAATTAACTGGGTTTTTTTTGTTTCCAAACATGTGCTGCAGAATCTACTGAGATTGAGAGACAAAAAGAGATCAGACATACATCAGAGCAAAGCTGAAATATGTAAAAATAAAGGAACTGCAGCAGAGAAAAACAGCACGACATCACAGCGGGTCATTTTCTGTGTTTGTGCAGTCGGAGGAAAAATATATCATTTAGGGACCATGACCATTAAAGTACCTTCGAATCGACAAGACAATAGGAGCAGCTACGCAGAGCAAAACTGAGCAGAGTGAAGACGAGCGGAGCAGAATTTATCAAAGCATATACTCCACCAAACTGACACAGCAGAGATAGGGAAGCTTATGAATAGAGAAAGGGCTGTCCTGACCCAGAGCAGAAAAGAAGGTAATAGAACTGACCGTTAACTTTTGGGCTGGGGGTCCCCGTCACTGGTTTCACGGGTTTCTTCTTTTCTCCAGCTGTATAAATGAAAGACATGACAAAGAAGGCAAAGAAAGAATGAAGCATTAAAACTCCTGAGTGGACCCGCAAGAGGTGAGAAACGAGAGTCCCGGTTTGATTCTTAAATTGAAGTTTTCTTTCTAAAAACTATTTTGTCCAAACAAGTACATTTAATCCAAATGGGAGCACCCTTTATACAAGCAAATGACCATATTAGATGCTCTAATGAGCAATCAGAGTGTTCAAAAGGGTAATAGAAAATAAACCGCGTCCATGGTTATTTTTAGGCCGAGCAATGCAAATAGAGTTCATGACCGTTAATTGCCGTTCGAATTGGATGACTTAAAAAGAGACTATTCAGAAACTTTGGGTTGCGATTATCCCGAACAATCTATGTTGTCTCCGTAAAAGCCAGCTATTGTTGTCAAAGGATAGAGCGGGGAATGGAGAAATGTGAGAAATTCTCAAATTGCATCATTGACTTATTCCACAGGCAGCAGGGTGGTGGCCTTGGTGGCAGCAGGCCATTTTTCTTTGCAAAATGTAATTGTCGTAGATTAATTTGCGAGTATTTCTTTCCAAGTAACTTCACACATATGAGGTAGATCATTGTTATAGAGCAAAGAATGCAAGACAACGTATTAGGTGAGAATCCATTTGCTGTAATAGCCTATCCAGAGCCTATGCACGGCTCCTAAATGGTTTTCCGTCTTAAGGTTTTGTCTGATTGCACCATAGCCCATTTAAGTCCACTATTAGCGTGGGGCAGATAGATGTGCAGATAACAGAAGTCAGGGTCAAAACTTCCTTTGTGATGCACTAGGTCATATTCTCAAAAAGTAACATTAGAACTTGTACTGTAATTATACAACACTTCAATTTTCTTGGAAAATGTGTATTGCCTCTTTTTCTCATAGTGATTGGTAAACGCTAACTTGTACTTGTGTGTAGATAAAAACCAGAAAGCTTTCAGTATCTAATCTCCACAGTGAACATAAACGCCTCACCCAACACTTCAAAAGGAATCCAATTATTTTTAAAAGAAAGAAAGCTTTCATTTCAGTCAAGATGCGTTGTTTTTTTTAAATAATCGACACAGCATATACTGCGGATACCTTTCGGTTTATGATTGAGCTCCGGTAGCCAAAAATGTAAACACTTGAGGTGTTTTATGTTGTATTCTAACAGCCAGACTCTCCACTAGTCCATAGGCGGGCTGTCCACCCCACCAGTAAATCTCCCCCTGCTGCAGATGGTCAGTCTGTCCCAGAGTGTAAACACCGTGTCCTTGTGCGAGATGCACTCGGGGCCCTCCCGTTTACTCAAATCAAACTGCTGAAGATAAGAAAAAGGCCAATCACAAACCTCGACATATGGGCATCTTGCCCGTCCAAGTACCGTCGCTCTTGCAGACCCGGTGCTCAGAGCCCCCTGATAGGAAGTAGCCATGTTGACAGCTGTACACCAACGTGTAGCCAAACCCTGGAAGATCCATCCCCACCACATCCACGTGGAACGGGCTCTCCGGCTGCTTACAGGCGTGGGCTGGAGGTTAAAAAAAAGGCATAACACTCGCTGTGAACAGGAGTCCGACTGATGGCCGGTGTTCTGTCAGGTCAGCATACCCGTCAGACCAGCATACCCATAGTAAATACGCATGCGCACGACGTCAGATTTTCGTACGGGGTAAGGTAGTCTGACAGTATAGGTGTCAGATTAGCATACCCCGTCAAAAGGTTGTAGTTGAAGGTAAAACACACAAACAACCAGAAAACCACACCGAAAGTCAAGTACTTTTGTTTATTTATGGGTGATGTAATAAACAAAAAGTTTTAGTCGGAGGTAAACAGAATTTAGTAGCGAGGGCTAAGTATGAGGATCTGACGGGCTAGGTATGACATCTGATCAGATCAGCACACCTAGCCCGTCAGATCAGCATATTTAGTCAGTCAAATCAGCATACTTAGTCCGTCAAATCAGCATACTTAGCCCTTCAGATCTGCCCGTCAGATCAGACCGTCAGCATACACTTTGATAAGATTAATCTGCCATTTCAAAATGTATGTACAGGTATTCGGATTTGGTGTTTTTCGAAAGGTATGGCGATCTGACGGCTTCTCCAAGTGTTCTCCAACTTTTCGCAGTAAGACCATGTTCGCGCATGCGTAAAACTATGGGTATGCTGGTCTGACGGGTATGCTGACCTGACAGAACACCGGAATGCGTAGGGTCAATGTGACCAGTGAAAAAAGATCGGCGTTTCTTACGTATGCACTCGGGTTGAATTCCGCTCCAAGTCAGATCGGGCTGGCAGATTCTGGAGGAGGATCCCTGTATCAAGTGACCGGGCTGACACTGAAACGACACCATGCTGCCGACCTGCGCAGAGACACACAACGAGTTGTGAGGAGAGTTGTGTTTGCCGTGGAAAAAAAAAAAGCTCAGAAGAGCTCTGTGGCGGAGGAGTGCGATGATGGATGTCTCTAATTCAGTTTATGGAGGCCATCAGTTGCAGAAGATGGATTAGTGTTGTACTGGTAAATACTACACAAGCAAAACGCTTACTTCTAATTACTTTAAAGCATTTTCTCGGGAGGTCCTTGACCCAGTGAGGCATATTTGTCAGAAAGGCATGTAGATGGAAACTGCACAATTACTAATAAACAACAACTTTTCTTACACTCAGACTTTCTTCTCTTTTGATTTCATGGAGATGAACATTTTGCAAATACTTCCAGCACAGTCCATGCACATTTCTCTTCAAACATTCAACCAGTTTTAACATGGACTTTAGCAGAAAATGGCATTTTCATTTGTGTACTTTCAGGGACACTTTTGGCTTGTCAGAAGAAATACTGGCAACATAATTCAGATACTGAAAATATGAACTAAAGATTGTCTTACTACAATAAATATGTATAATTTTGCAGTATACTTATTTCCAAAAAGTCTAAGATTTCAATAATTCACCTCCAGGTCTTTAATTTGTACACCAAAGGTGCACAATGGTACTTTTGTGCTGGTTATTTAGTCAACTTTCTGAATAGGATGGTTGAGTCAGAAATTATTCTCACCTTGAAACCAAAAGTTCGATTTAAGGAGCCGTAGCGTGGCGTTCCTGGATTGTCACAGCTGGTTTTGGTTGGTTCTAACAAAAAATGGAAAAAGAAAAAAAAATGAAAAGCAGCACAAGGGTTTAAATAATTGAATACATCATTGAGGGGGAATGACAAATTAGCAGCAGTATCATATATCCTCTTTAAAGTGTTTTTCCCCAGTGTTGTCATGGTAACATTTTTATTTTATTTCTTAAATTGTATTGTTATCTGCACACGTACACGTGCCTGGAGTCATTAGAACAGCAGGGGGCAGTAGTACTTTATCAGAAAACGAAGCACGGTCTGTTCAGAGATGAGTGCGTGTGTGTGTGTGTGTGTGTGTGTGTGTGTGTGTGTGTGTGTGTGTGTGTGTGAGGGTCATCAGCATGTAGAGCACATCCTGGCGCAGAGCTCGATTCAATACAGCTTCCGAAATGACAGATTCACTCACCACCTCTGTTTCTCTCTCCTCCTGTACCTCCATCTGCTCTCTTTCTTTTCCCCCTGTTGTCTCCTTTCACCCCTTCTCTTCGGTAAGTCTTCCTTTCCACTCTTTCTATTTTTCCATGTCACCGTCCCTGCCCGCCCACCCCCCTCTACCCCCTCGTCTGTCTTATTTAAAGAGCAGGCTGCTTTAACTCAGAACTCATTCTGCTCCAGTCACTTAGTAATACAGCCCACACGCTAACGTACAGCTGCAATCACAAATTAATAAATCACCCCCTGCACACACTCACGCGCAGACAGAGTAGACGCCAAACACTCCACGATGCATTCTGGGCTCATTTCAATCATCTTCAGAAAAACCGAAGCTGCCCTCAAAATGAGTTCTCGTGCACGCCCATGTATCAGTAACACTCACAGGCTTAAAATAATTAAAAAAAATAGAACAGAAAAGGTTTCCCCTCGCCAGCAGCATATCTACACTGTACCTACTTTTCTCTATACAGTCTATACATCAATGAAGCAGCACTTCACAGTTTGCCACGTATTTATAGATCATCTATTTCAAAGGAGCTTTCGAGGAACATACCACTTCATGGATGTATGCCTTATCAATTCTTGCGAGGGGAGGTGAAAGTCAGTGTCTGTTACAAGCTGGCTAATTTATTGGAATTCATCTCCATACAGTACTTGATGTTCAAGCACCTGGCCTGAATCATACATGTGAAGTGCTGCTTTAAACCTAACACGTGCTTTCTGAACCGACCCAGCTGGGCCGTTTGTAATATGCTGAATATCCATGCTCAGTTCCTCCTTAATCTCTGGACAGCAGCAGCCTTTTTTTTAAGTTTAAAATGGATGCCTGTTTCTGGAAGTAAGAGCAAGTTCTAGATCGATATGAAATATAGGAAAGCACTTTTGTTGTGATTTCTAAAGAAATGTTCATAGATTTTATTACTAACTGAACAGAAACAACCACCAACTCTTCTTTTTAAGGCAAATAATTCAGATTCTATTGGATTTATACATAATTAATACTTAATAATACTTAATAATTTATAATATATAGTGATATATGATCATATATGATTATGAGTAAGTTATGATATACAATAGATTAATACCTTTCTCAATAATTGGGCAATACTCTTTGACAACATAAAACACTATCTTGCTAAACTTCACATGATCCATCCAGGGAGTACGTGGCCTGTGGCCCAAAGCCTGCTGGGAAAGGCTCCAGAGGGAGGGACCGCGACCCTGAATTGGAATATGGAATATGGAAAATGGATATATGGAACTTGACATTAAGTTTAGCGGGCTATAGTAGAGAGCAGTCTACATTTACATCGTTATGATTATTCACCCACTAGAAGGTAGCAATTGCATATCTATGAGGCAAACTGCAGCAAAGACACACTAAGTGTTTCTGCTGCAAAGTCAGCGAAGACTGCAGCGGGAAAAAAGATGAGGAACAAATGACTTTAAGGCATTCATCATCAAATTCAACATATATGGCAGTTTATGTAAATTAAATCATGAGATCAAATTCTACATAACCTATGATGAGTATATTGAGACCTACCAATTTCACCACTTTTGAGCCATTTTTTAGTGACAAATATTTTTTAAATTGCGCAAAACTGTTTTATTTAATCTCAAGTGACTTTTGTGAAACAGTCCACTGAATTCATAATCTGCGGATTCCACAAAAAAAAAAAAGAAAGTATCTAAAATAACAACGTGAAACAAATAATAAAATATGTTATTTTTGTCTACGCTCTGTGAGAGAATAATAATTAAAAGTAAAAGCCATGTTCAGCAAAGGAACAACATTAATAAACCGTCTGTGATACTAGGCTTTGATATGTTATTTAAAACAAGATATTTATTTTACAAGAACGACCTCCTGAGAAATCTCTCAGAAGTTTGGAGACTCTGGTGGACCGACCAACACTGCTTTTTAATTTCTACTAACACTTTGAAGTAGGGGAAGACACCCTTGCCTGGAGATGCTCAGCTGTACATCGGCTCATGTGGGGATAAAAGATTGATCAGCGTTGTGTCAACAACGGTTAGAAAATCTATTATTTAAATATTAGATCAATTTTCTGTCGAGGTTACAAACCCTGAAGCCCTAGTTTAAAAATGTTTAAGACTCAGACATAAAAAATCTCGAGAATTTCCCTTTTTGAGGCTGGACGGATGAGACAACTGGGATCAAATTTGCACCTTATGAGACTATCAGTACCTTATATTCAGATTTCTCGATACACCGAAGACTTTTCTGTACAGGACTTTTACTGGCCGCATATCTGACCGGAATAACTTGCTGTTTGGAGCAATATGCGGTCGCCTCAGTGATTGCAAGGTGTTCAGGTCATGTGACTGCAAAAACAAGCCTAAATTCTTAATGTTCCAGCATCGTACCTTATGCAGTCTTTCTCTACATATGCTGTGTGGCTTTCTCTAAAGCTATGTATTTCGACCATAGACACACACCATCTTTTTTTGTCACTCTCTTCCAAAAAAGCCCGACATGTACTGTCGTGAACTTCAATATTTAACATGCAAACGGAGTCCTGAGGATAGGAGCTCCCGAATTTTAGGCAGAACACTGCATGCGCTGACCTTTGGGGTGAACCTGCTGGAACGTACACTTCTGAGAAAATTGGAAACGGTCCTCAGTGTTTTCATCTCCGGCCGAATCTTTCTTAGTGATGGACTCTGTGTCTTTTTTTTTTTTTAAAGTGGTCTCATAACTCCACCTAAATTGATGGGCAGCAACAATTGTTTGTCCAAGAGGATTGCTGATGTTCTTTCTCCTTGTCACTGTGGTATCGCACACCTGGATCCTCCCATACCAGCACACTGACGAAATGTACTATTTTTATAGGGGTAATCAAACTTAATCATCAATTCATAAAGCTCTTTTTAATCTAAGCATATTGTTGATATTTGCCCTCTCACTTCCTTTGGAACCAGGAAGAGGGTCCAAATGAAGTATCTGTTAGGTACTGTTGGGCGTAAAAGAAGTCACATGGATATAGACAAGTTGAAAGCAGTTCTTTTCATCACTTCTATGATGGTCTGGTTTTGTAAAAAAAAGCCACCAGACTTACCGATACAGCGCGGCTGCGTTCCACTCCAGGTCCCGTCGCTTTCACACAGCCGTGTTGCCGTGCCGACCAGTATCAGGGGTAGGGAGCAGCTGAAGGACACCTCTGACTGATAGATGAAACTTCGCCCCTCTCTGAAACCACCCACCAGAGTGCCTGGGTCGCCGCAAAACTTGGCTGCAAACAGAAACAAGGTTACATATTAGCTTTGGGATTAAAATGCTGACGTTTCACTTTTTTTAATATGGTGAATGGGGAGTTTTGCTTTCCGTTTTGATTGGCGATCGCAACCGAGTGCGCTGCCTTGCTGAATTTCTACGCCCAACGGGTGTGCGGCCTCACGCTTACGTAAGCACTGTGGCAGCATGCCGCTCCAGGTGCCGTTGGCCACGCAGGTCAGGACGGCCGGGAAGGAGAGCTCGTACCCCGGCGAGCAGCCGTAGCTCACGCTGCTGCCCCACTCGAAGTCGCTGCCCTGCAGGGCGCCGTTGCTGATGGCGGGGGGAGCCGGGCAGGTCACCGCTGGGGGGGAAAGAGGCAGAGAGCAGAGGGGCATATAAACCCGGCCTTAAGCATATAGACTTAGACTTAGACTTCCTTTACTGTCATTGTACAAAAAACACAAGGAACGAAATGTCGATTACTTGGCTACCAGTGAGACAGAGCTAAGACCTTATTCCTACTTAATAAATATGTTTTCTATAACTAAGAGCAAGGCATATACAGGATAAGAGCATATACAGTGGGGGAAATAAGTATTTGACCCCTTGCTGATTTTGCAGGTTTGCCCACTTACAAAGAATGCTTATTTTTCCTCATCAGATGGTTATCAATTTTTATAAATTCATATGATGTAATTTTCTGCAAGGGGTCAAATACTTATTTCCCCCACTGTATATGCATATTATTGCACAGAGTTATTACAAAAGAAACATCAATGAATATTGCACTGAGTTGATTGCAAAAATTAAACAATTGAGTTGAAGAAAAAGCTAAACTAAGGTGCGTGTATTGTCCATGTCCATGACGTCCGACTTAACTTCACTACCCTGGAAATTCACTAAAGTCTAAACTAGACTGACGGCAATCACCGATTTGAAACTTAATTTAGAATTTTGCTCCATTGACAACATTAACAGCTGCTGTACGGTGATGTTGTTGCTTGTGACTGATGCGATTAGTTTGTAGTTCTTGTTTTTTCCTTCATGGAACAGTGATTCCCTAGTGGGCACAATCAGGTCTGTCAGTCCGATAAAGCAAGTGTTTTACACAGGTTGGACTGTCTGTAAAACCCGATTATGGATAAGCAGGTTTAAAATATAAGAAGGATTGTTTTGTCACAATCATTTACCTGTACATAAAGGCATGTTGCCGCTCCATGTCCCATTCTGGGTGCACGTTCTCACAGAAGACCCATCCTCCTCCATTCTGTACCCCGGTTGGCACTGGAAGGAAACGTTCTGACTAATTGTGAAGTCCTCTCCATATCGAAGGCCATTAGCTGGAATACCGGGATCCCCACAGTTTATCACTATGGAGAAGAACAAGCAGTGTTGAGGCAAAGGGGTTGAGAAAGTTTACCATACAGGTTAATTTAAAAGGCTCATTGCCTATTTATGGTAATGGGATTTTTTTCTTGATGTCAGAGGTAAAGCACGGCTAATGGAGGTAAAGAAGGGGAAGATTAACTTAGAATGATTGAGGATGAATAAAGCTGGTATGGCAAACCAGAGAGAAAATATATCTCATAATTTGTCATCTCATCCTTGGTTATTCATCCCCTTTAATTATGATTTAAGAACAGGTGCACTTAGGCTTTAACACTTTGTGTGGAAAATGTGTGGAAAATAAATATGTTTCGACATAAGAAACATGTTTCTTTTTTATTCATTTTTACTAAATAAACTCTTCTGTTGGAGGACTTTAGGGTTTCTTTTAACACAGTAATTACGTACTGACTTTGGACACAAACTGCTTGTAGTGTCACAGATGGTTTGTTGGAACAACAGTTTAAACACAGGAATTCCATTCAAAAGGCTTGGATTGTGTTTAAAACCAGGGGATATAAAAATTTAATGGTTAAAATGGTGGATTTACCTATTTCTATTTTTCAGTGACTGTTTTGGTCAACAAAGGTTTTTGTTCCTTAAACTAACCAAAACGCCCACCCAAAAAAATTTCAAATAACATTATTTTTGGGAGAAAGTCATTCATTTTCCACTTATTTGCGATTTTAAATCCCTCTATGTGCATCTTTCTTTTAATAAACAAAAAGAGATGTTAGAAATGACGACATGGTCTCGGGACTCTTAAGATTAATTAAGATTTCCCTGACTGCCATTTCAGGTTATTGTAATCAATCAAATAAAACACAAGCAAAGAAATCCTGCAGCCTACCTTAGATATGCAACATTGTTTAACATTTGACCAACTAAGGCTACGGCCATATTCAAACTTGAACAGAACATTGTATATTTTAATTATTTACCTTCTAGAATTTTCCCTACAGGCTTCAAAAAGCAAATTAGCTAAAGTAAACAACAACAAGGTCATTTTCTAAAGTGCATTAACATTTGAGACTTAACATATTATACAGCAAAGCACCAGAATAAATTTGATAATTATGGTTTGCAGAATTGACATCTTTGCAAAGCGATGCTTAAATGTTTAACCAATTCCCACATGGTCAAACGTTGGAAAATAATGGTACAAAATAGTGTATTTCAGAGAAGTGTATTTACTTATGCTCTTATCTATCTATCAGTTAAGCCTCAACAGTTCACTCACTGGTGCAGTTGGGCTGTACCGCTGACCACGTCCCGTTGGCTTGGCATTGCCGGGTGGTGGCACCGGTCAGCAGGTAGCCGTCCATGCAGGAGTAAATAACAGAGTGGGAGAATGTGGTTCCATCGAGACGAAACACTCTGCCGTTACTGGGAGTGCCAGGATTACCGCACTGGACAGCTGCGAAAAAAGAAATGACAGTGACAGTGGCCGTTTAGGGAGACGTGGACGAACAGATAACTGATTTGAAAGGACCTAGGCGGAAACAGACTGAGATCATTTAAGAGTATCGGCCTACGTTTACAGAAGGGCTGAGTGCCTGACCAGGTCCCGTTAGGGAAGCACATCCTCTCCGAGGAGCCAATGAGCTCATAGCCCTCTGTGCAAATGAAGTAAACCTTGGACCGTATCCTGAAATCCGTTTGTTCCCTTGAACCATGGGAGGGAATGCCAGGATCACCACAAGAACCGGCAACATCACCTACAGGAAAAATACACAAGATTCTGTTACTGAAATGTATTCCGCTGCTGCACAGCTTAAAAGAACCAACAGCAAGAGTGCATTTGATTAATTAAACATCCGAATCAAGAAAAGGGAAGGTGTAAACAACAGGGATGTAATAATTAAAAGGTAACTATAATCCATCACTTATTTACGGTTTGATGTGAGCCGTAAAGTTCAGACAGGGTTTTAGAGTTTAATGAGATTTACATTCTCATGGTACGCAAGTTCGAAATGGCTGCTTACAAACACCAAAGAAGTGCGAACGTTATGTCGCCGACAGGGGGAATTTATGTTTGCGTAAGTGTGCGTGCGTGCTGATAGGTGCCCGGGTGGCTGTGTTGGACGTGTGTGTTTGCAAAGTGTGAGACCGGCTCTGCCCTTGTAGAGCCGCCTGGTCAGCAAATTCTGTCTGACATACAGAGCATGCTCCGGGAGGCACACACTCTTCCACGCACAAAAAAAAAAAGGTACATTATCACACAAACGCCTAAGCCTGGACTAGTGTATTGCTTTTCAAACATTTCCGGCCTGTGCAGCCCATTTCGTTAATGGTCTGAAATTTGCATTCGGTTACGTGTGTATATGATGAATGCCACAAAGTGATCCATTTCTGTTAGTTTTGGATTGATGAGTGCGTCTTACAGTCGCTTTTTAAAATTTGCACACCATTCACCCTCGATGCTGACTATAAATTCAGAGTGTAACAGGATACTTTGTACGAAAAACTACTTTAAGTGTTTCTTAAGGGTGTCTGCAAGGTTTTGTGGTTCTCCCTCATGCTTTTGACAAACAACCTAATTTCATATTGCCTGTTCGGTATTGTGCAAATATCTTGGGGTTTGTCGCAAAACTGAGCTTACTCAAAGCGCAGACACAACACATTATCGCATAATAGCTTTTGTAAAGCTCCAGGATTTTAGATGGCTGCTTAAATAAGTAAATTGAATAGATAAATTAATAAATCAAATGGCTCAACTGAATTGTTCATATTTGTATCGCATTAGATTTAGAAAAAAAACATGATAAGAACTAACTATTTTTCACAAACACTTGACCCCCCAAAGTCTCCATGTGTCCTCACAGGAACTTCGTCTTAGCAAAAACAAATTTTCAAGCTCAACTATGTTGTTTTCTCTGTTCTCTGACATTTTTTCTACCTTTTTTCTACCTTCTACCTTTTTCTTTATATGTAGTCACAATGATGAGTTTCCAGTGGTTGGGAATGAAAAGTCTGAGCTTAAGTAGAGCCTTATAACAGTATTTTTCAGTAAAATATTAATTTCAAGGTACTGTCCCTGAGATTATAGTTAACAGAAAGGGAAAGCATTCCTTCAACACTTTATTTTCATTTTCATTGTCCTTTAAATGTCTAGCTGCACCCAGCAGCTACTTTGTTTAATTAAGCGTAAAGACTAGAAGTGGGAAAACAAAAAACTTGGCTCTGTCTAAAGGTAATGAATACATCCTTCTTAGTAGCTGTAAGGCTCAGCAATTAACACATGATATTTCATTTAGTTTCAGATTTCCTGGTCTGAATTTTCAGGTGCGGCTTATGAGCCACACTGGTACCAGAAGACACTTACTCGTCTCTAACCATCTAACCATCTGTCTCAGTTGTTTAAAACCCTGGGAGATATGTAAAAGTGTTACAAAACTGTGCCGATTGGGGATTCGTTTGGAAGTGCGTTAGTTATGGCTAGACGGTCTGCTTGTAGGCGGACGTCCAGACACAGAAACAATGCCACCTTCTTAAGAATGAAGTTTAACTTCCCCCTAAGGTATCGCAAACACCGTTACATCACAAATACATCAGTTATCGCTTATCGCGGAGCAGAATCACAGTGGTAGAGTTGCCACCCTGGGCTGAACTCATATCTCTGCAGGGCTCTAGTACAGACTCGCCAGGTAGAGACCATGAATCATTTCTTCCTAAACTATTACCCTCCCTAACCTCTCATCTCCCCCAGGCTATTGCTGTAAATAACAATGTATTTTTAGTAAAATCGTCTGCACTGCATTTTCACTGGGCTTGTTATATAAGACTCTCAGGCTGTGGAACCATAATCATTCCCCAGCCAGCCAAGGGAGAGCCATAAAACTCAGTGTTTGTTTTCATGATGGAAGGTAAGAAGGATTCCTGTCTGAGGAGACAATCTAGATGAATAGGGTCTGAGATATGTATATACGGGACGTTCGGTGGGAAAGATATTTGCTTCTGTGAAGCACTTTACAGACCATTGAGAGCGGCACTTCTACATTACACAATATTACATAATACTATATACCAGATGGACTTATCTTGCAAAGAAAAACACAGCTGAGGTTGCGGAGAGTTCACCGGAAACAGAAAAAACGGATTGAAATAATGACAAACATTTGTCTGGTTTTATCAAGCTCAAAATATAAGTTGGAAAATCTACGAGTTATAAAACAGCCGTACATTTTCTGTGGGAGGAAAAAAAGCAAACAAAGGGTCTCCAAATTGCTGCTATTTGATTTGCAGAAGACAAATGCATGTGGTTTACAGTCCAGGACTGAGTGCAGGGCTAGGGTTATGCTCCAGAGCTCTTTTTTCACAGACAGATACTGATATATTCCCTTTTCATGCACCAACCTTTCCTTCTGCGTGTTCATCCATCCCTCCCATTATCCCCCTGACTAAGTGCGAAGGCTTTAAAAAGTACGCCTGCGGGATGTAAAGGGATGAGCTGCTTGACACTCTGGCGAGTCTTCATGTTTTCGATGCCTCGCCTTTCATCTGCAACTCCTATCCCTCAATCACTTTTCCTGATAGGGCGGGCGTTAAACTCCGTGTATCGAATAGAGGCTAAAACGGTTACCGGAGCAGAAGGGCATGGGGACGCTCCACATTCCGTTGAGCTGGCATGTCCGGGATGATTCCCCTTTCAGCTGTCTCCCGCCCAGACAGGAGTATCGAACCGTTGAACCAAACGTAAACTTATCTCCGCTCAGCACACTGTTGGGGGGGGAGCCGGGATGACCGCAATCTACAACTAGAGATCGAGAGAGATGGAGGGAGAGGAGTGAAGGAACTGGAACGATTCTGTCCAGGATTAAAAACAAACTCAGAGACTAGAAGTTTTGTAAAATATGATGAAAACTAAGGCATGGTACAAGTTCTCTACAAACCTATACATTCAGGTAGGGGTTTGTCCCATTGTCCGGTCGGTTGACAGGTCAATACAGGTGATCCAAACAGGTAATAACCGGGGTTACAGTCATAGAAGACCACCGTGCCAAAGGTAAAGTTGCCATGCTCTATTTTACTCTGCCGGATAGAGTTGGCCGGGATACCTGGATCAGAGCAATTGACCACTATACACAGAGAGACACAGAGGCAGAGGCACACAAAGAGAAAGACATACAGGAAGAATGCATGTGTTATTTGGAATGAACCAGAGAGGGTCATTTCTCTTCCCCCCCTCTTTCCTATTTCCAGAGTATTGCACTTGGAATGCATTTTCTGAGCAATATCGGAGGGCATAATAAGAAGGCTATGATTAAGTAGGAAGAAATGAAGAAAAACCGGGGTTTAAAACGGTAAATGCAGGAGATATTAAATGATAACATGGTGAGGCTAGGGTTGTCTGTATTGGATCCAACCCCCCCCAGCAGTGTGATAGCTCGTTATCATCAAGCGGCATTTTTAATTTTTCTCACTTCATCGGCACTCAATTTCTACAAACTGGGCAGAAAGCCATTCGTTTATGAAGAAAAAAATCGTGCACACACTCCAAATAATTGCTGAGATCTTGAGCTTTGCACTTTGCGCTCAGGTAAGAGGGATCGGATGCAAATGAAGGAATGAAATGGGCTTGTGTTTCAGAGAAAAAGGCGGTAAAGGTAAATAAAGATTGGTGTTAGTGATGTGGTAAAAGGTTAGGAGTAAATAAGGTTAGGGGGTGGATACACTTAACTTTTCTCCCCACCTTTACATGTCGGGGGCGGGTGGCTCCACTGCCGGTTGGCCTGGCACTGAGCACGCGCCGGCCCCTCCATTTCATAACCCCGGTTACAAACAAAGCTGACCACATCGTTGAGGTTGAAGCCGTTCCCCACGGTACGACCATATATGGGACTTCCAGGATGACCGCAGCTGATGGCTAGAGGAAGAAAATCATGAATCGTGATTACATATTTAGTCTTTCAGTATCGTGCGTTACTGCAAACAACCCTTTGCTAGTGTTGACATGCTCTGATGACTGAAAGGAAATTGAATTTTTATTTGAATTGAATTTTGAAAGACAGGGGGAAGAGATATTACATACACACAACTCCTATTATATACACTGTACTTAATCTGTATTTTTTGCATTTTTATTTATTCATTTATTTTTATTTTTTTGCTTAATTTAATTTTAACTTAATAACTTAATACTTTTTGCCCTTTAAGGTGCTGGTAACCTTAATTTCCTGAGGGAGTCTTCCCAAAGGATCAATAAAATACTGTCTAAGTCTATGTCTAAGTCTAAAAAGTCCAGAATTTAGTCCGTTAGAGTTTTCTGTATGTCTACAACATTCTAACATAAACACATTTAATGAAATTAAAAAAAGAAATATTAATAGATAACATTAATAGACAGATTTCTTTGATTATTTGGACTAAAAAATGACAATGATTTCCCCTTGTGTGTCCATTATACTTTACCGATGTTTTTAAAATACATCATTAACGTGCTGATGGGAAGTTTTTAAGACCTAGCTCGTGATTTAGCCGTCCCAGAGGCAGCAGTGCTGCTTCAGCGGTCTCTGAAACATAATTGCAGCTGACCACTAATGTGATTTAGATGCAGCTGTATTTTGGAAATGCTTTTCATGACCCATTTCCTCGTTTTCCCATTAAATTATAGTAAAAGTAAAACCAAGTTGCAATGTTTTGTTATCTTTTTTATCGCAACACAGAAGGCACAAAAAAAGTGTGATCTGAGCTATTCATTTTAAGCTTTGTGTTTAGTTTTCTTTTCCTGCAGCCATTCATAAATATTCATGAGAGTGACAGATGACTGACAGGACGAAGCTGTTTGACAATTTAGCCATTATTTCGGAAATAATATATTGCGTTGGCACCGAGTGTCCTCTGTTTGCCACTGTGCGCCGTAGTTATTCATCTTGTTAACTTCATTCAGGAAGAAGGCCCCTTATGGCTTTGTGGGATGTTTGAGTAAACAGGCAGTTTATAGTTTCTGCCAGACTCCTCTCATCTGCCTCTCAAAATGTCCAGCTCCAAATTTTTAGGGGGAGGAGAGGAGCCAGACCGGAAAAAAAAAGAAAAAAAAGACAATTACTCAGTGATAAAACACGGGAAAGAAAATGAGTAGAGAGAAAGAGTAAGTAAAGGAGGAGGGCAATAAAAAAGAAAGGAAACAGCAAAGAACAGGGGAGAAGAGCAGAGATGTTAAAGACTAGAGATGATGAGAAAGGCAGAGGCCAAGGAAATTGATAAGCGAGAATCACAAGTTTGTTTGCATGCCTAAAATACAAATTGATCTGACAGTGTGCACATGCCCCCCAGCTACACAAACAAACACACACGTGCACATTCGAACACACATCGCACGTCTCATCATCATTCTGTGTTTGTGTCTCTAAACAAGAGCCTCTCATCTCCATAATTACAGTATAATTTGGCTGTAAAATGATTTCCCTCTATAACTCCTGCATGAATAACCTCAATAAAAACAGCCGAGTCCCTCCCTAACACACCTAATGAAACACACCGAATCTTTACCACACAGACACATATGCATGTGCACACAAACATACAGACTCACACACAAAAGCATATTAGGTCCCTATATTGAACTTTTAGTTTTTATTTTTAAGAAAGCCTCATCTCCCCCCTGTTGGAAACAGTGCAACACCATCTCTGTTCTAATTGAATGAACAGATGAGCTGTCGCTTTTGGGAAGAGGGGGCTGTAACTGGCCTCATCATCACCAGCACCTCCACTGTGCCCTGCGTGCCGCCTAAAAACCATTCATGACACTCACAGCAAGTGACCAATTTAAAAAAAAATGTTCACAGTAGCCTGCGCACGTAAAACCTTCTGCTCTATCCACAAGCCCCGATAATAACTTTACTCAGGTGAATTGGGTATTTTGGCCCCTCAGGCCCTTGTAAGACCACTGGTATAAATTCACAGCTCGTTCACACAACTGAGTGTGTATTCAGAAATGGGGATATTTCCAAAATACAAAAGGCAAATGAATCCATTAGTTTAAATTGTTAGGTGAAGAATTTTAAGGAGGACCTGAATAAAACAGGACAATACATACTTCTGTCTCGACAATGAGAAATATCTACACTTGTTTATATTTCACGGAAAGTTTATTTGTATTGCACATTTTCTATGCAACTGCAACTCAAAGTGCTTTTTTTCTATAGTATATTCTATAACAGTTACATATCATAGCTATGGGAACTGAAATTCAATGAAAGAAAATTGTGTTTTGAATCTCAGTTCTAATAAAACAAAGTTAGCAATGCAATTCTGGATTAAATTCTAGTAAACAAGTCATTCCTCTGTACATATTGATTAAGAAAGTTATTTTTTAGCCAGTTTTCACTGATATTTGTATTTGCTGTTATAAAGATAACCAACACTAAGATATCCACGGCTAAACTCCTAATTTTATTACCTCATATTGACTGACTGTACCTCATCCAGCTTTAAATGGACTTCTCTGTCAGCGAACATTACTGTTTCTTTCAATTTCAATTTCTTTGAATTTGAGCTTCAAACCTACTGATTATAAAAATACTTTTAACTTCAAAGTCAAAGAATCTTTTAATTCATTACAGAGTTTTAAGAGTGTACTTTTCATACTTTCTTTTTCTTTTCTTTTTCTACACAGATATCATGTGTCTGTTTTGTCTGTTTTGCTTTGTTATCAAATCAATCTGAGAACCCTTTTTTATAAGACATGAGATCTTAATTCCTCGCACTTCATGTCTGTTTTAATCGGTGTTCGAAAAGAGCGTTGTGAGATGTTTAATATTGATTAGTAAACTTTCAAAGGCAAGTACAATGAGCTCATCATTAAAATTTGCCTGCTAACTGCCCCTGTCTACACAAAATGGCAGAATTTCTCACAACCCTTTTCGAACACATACAAGCAATAAAAAACTGCTTTCTCCGAGTTCGTTCAAGATGAACCCAAAGAGATAAAAGTGTCAATCGGTGAAAGAAAAATTATCTAAGTCAGCATACGAGCTTAAGATATGAACACTGTGTTCATGGTTCTGCTCGAGGTTTCTGCCTGTTAAAAGGAAGTTTTTCCTTGCCTGTGTCGCCTAGTGCTTGCTCATGGTGGGAATTGTTGGGTTTCTGTAATTAACTTCAGAGTAGGGTCTGACCTGCTCTGTTTGGAAAGCGCTGTGAGACAACTGTTGTTGTGATGTGGCGCTATATAAATGAAATTGAATTGAATTGAATTAATTTTAATTTTGTAATGTCATTGTCTGAACGTGTGTTTGGACTGATTTTGTATTTTTTGATTTTGTGTTGTTTGATCTTCCTGCCTGACGACAGATGTAAACTAGCAACTATGCTATAATCTGGCTCATTTACAATCTGTATGAGATTGTTCATTAATGTGCACTGTCCTGATTAAATAAATAAATAAATAAATAAATAAAAGGTACAGCGTAGCCCACAGGTAGTCATGGATACGGCAGGCCGAACAGCTAATTTAGCAGACAACAGGGCAAAAGGGAAACTGTTTGGGTGCTTTACTTACGTATACACATGGGCAGCTGTCCTGACCACTGATTGTCTTGGAGACAGATCCGAACGGACGAGCCAATGAGGCGATAGCCAGGCAGACACTGGTACACCACCGTGTCTCGGTAGCCAAAGTTCTCCCCAATCACCTGACCGTTCACGATCCCCTCCGGAATCCCGCAGTGACCAGCTGAAATGACACACGGGGCACAGTGATGAGGAAGGTATTCACCAAAACAACCTTTAACTTTTCCATTTAAATTAGTTGCACTTTGAATGTTCATCCTCAACATATATCTTCTTGTCTCACAGATATCAAACTATTTCATTCTCAACTTCACTTTCTTATTTTATCTATGGATTTAGCTCTTTCAGTTCAAGGTTAAAATGAATGCATGTAAAAGCAAACCACTTTCACTGTGGACATAAGACGCCGGACTCTTAGAAAACAGACATAAATAGATATGCATTACCCACAATTCTTTGCAATGCTTTTAACTTTCAATTCAAGAATCATTATTGGTCAAGGCTTACCAAACAGGGTCTGGGGGCCTTTTTTTACTTTTTACTCCTTGATCAGATTCACTCTCCAAAGTCTGATTGATGCACGGCGCTAACTCAAGATGCTTTAAAAGCCATTTCAAAAAAGGCAGAAGGGAATGCCTGTTTTCAGCTCATAGAGATTTTTTGGATTGAGTATTGATTTTGTCCTTTACAGTAGATAAAACCCTCGTTGCATCCCTGATGTCAGCAAATGCTTTGAGCACGGTCAGGGGAGTGGAACAGAGCAAAGAGAAGAAAAGGTTACCTCATATTCACTGTGTCATTTGACATTGTTTTTCAGGTCTTGATTACCGAAGTTAAAGGGCACTGCTCAAGAGGGGCATGCATTTTACTTTTTGTACGTAGCAGACGCCTGTGTGTTTGAAAGAAAGGAATGGCACATGACCCGTAACAAAAAAAAAAGAAAAAATCTGTAGTTCACATAAGTTGACTTATTTAGAATTAATTATCTCATCCTACTTACAGAAAGAGTGATAGAAAACGAATAATTAAAGAACATTAAAACATACCAAACATAGAAATTTGGTTTCTACATTTTGTTCAAATCTATTTTGACTTTAACCCTATAATGCCATGTGTATCATAGCTGACACATATGGTTTATGAAATGTTTTGCATCTGAGACCTTCTGCATCATTTATTGATAAAAAAAAGCTCAAACACTGTCAAAATCAGATATACCTGATAACAGCGAGCAGAAGACAACATGATAATAATTTTGACTCATCGCATGATAAATGATAAATATTCCAAAAATAATTTGTCGATTTATTCAAATAAAGATTTTTTTCTCACTATTTTTTCTTTCTTCCTAAAGGCTTAAAAACTGAAACAGTTGCAGAAGGATTGGTTTTTAATAATGTCACGAGCCAGTTAAGTTTTGAAAGGTGACATGAGAATTTAGTTAATGAAGATGCAGTTTAAAGCACGGTTGTGGGTTTGTTTTTGACAGAACTATGTCTCTGCCTCAGCCCAGGTTAACTTTCACTCACATCAACCTCTAGCCTGTGAAGTATTCTGGGAAGCGATGTTTCTGTGGAAACTTTGTAGTAAAGTGACAGCATCATATCGTAACATCTGTAACCTCTGACTGGAGCATACTGACAGAAGAAAGCTATATTTCTCCGTTCATATTCTATGCACACACACACATACAACGTAAACTCCAAACTTATTTTGCGAGACCACAGCTGGAGTTCCCCTGATAGTGTTTGCATGTGGGGTGGACAAGGTCTGAAGGGAGCAGCTGTGCAGCCACATATGAGGTTTAGGGCAGAGACCTTCTTTTGATACCTGTCCTCATTAAATTGAAGAAAAAAAAAAATCCCATGTTCCCTGCTCACTCTCAGATGATGGATGTTGACATTACACGTGTGTGTGTGTGTTGGTCAGTGTACCTTATACTCTATATGTCCTGGAATTTGAGACCAAAATAATCCACACAGAGTCTTGACATAGTGATATAGCATTAGGACTAATAGTTCAGTGTGTACAAACCTAAACACCGTGTTTCGGTTCCACTCCAAAGCCCGGATGACAGGCACTCTCTGACAGCTGACCCCACCAGCATGAAGCCACCGTCGCAGGTAAAGATGGCCGTGGCGCCAAATGTTGTCTGGGTACCGATCTTCTTCCCATTGGGCGGAGAAGGCAGCTCACCGCAGGAGATAACTGTTACACACAGTCAGACACGGGCTATTTAAAAGCAGTTGCACGCCAGTTTAGCGGCAGGTTAGCATGAGTCACCGCTAGAGCTCATTGGTTTCAGCAAAGGAACGCCATTAGTCCTGGCAAGCTGCTTATCTGGCAAATTCAGCGCTGCTGTTTTTCCTCCCCGTCGCAAATAGCTCGGTAGGAACGGAACAGTAAAATTTGAACGCCGTGACATTTTTTAAGGGGAAACAACAGTGATCCAAAGCGTCAAGGAGTCCCAAGAGGATGGCATAGTGGATGACAGTTTAAAAATGTCAACTCTTGAAGGTTAGATCTTGGATCGTGACGATAAAAGTTTCACCTCGAATGATGGCTCTTGCGCGTCCTCTTTAGATTGCATCACATTAGCATTAAAGAAATACTTTAAACACACCTTTTCTCTTTTGATGGCAGCCAACATGAAATGACAAGCTCATACAGCTTGTTTTTTTTCCCTCTCTTTGTGCAGACCGAGAACTGTCAGCTGTGTTTACTTGTTAGCTGGGTTTTCATTTTCTATGGCTTTTAACTGTCAGCCGGCTGCTTTTCCATAATTCGGAAGAAAAGAACTGGGTCCAACATGCTGTTGATGATCACGCGTCTCTTTGGGTGGTTAACATGTATGTGAGTATCCAGAAATTAGGTTATGATTTGACGTTTGTGGGGCCTCTTTCATGCATGCATTGTCATGGTTAGAATTAAAACGAACAAACAAAAGGCAGGTGCTTTTCTTATGAGATACAAAGACTTCACTGCTCATTTTGTGGTAAAAAACACAGCCTCCAAAAACAAAGCCATTTAGATGCAGCATCTAAGCAACAGTTACATGTATGTCGGTATGTGATGTTTCTCCTTATGCCTTCTAGTTTAGAGACACAAATGTTTTTTATATAACTGAACTGGCCAAACTCAGCGATCTCACTGCGTTTAATTTGCAATGACCACAAAATCTTTGTTACGGTTGCTCACCCTGGCAGTGTGGCCTCTCGTTCTTCCAGCTCCACACCCCATTTGCCAGGCACTGGATATGGGCAGGGCCTGATCTGTAGTATCCTGGATCACAAGTGAAGACGATGCGAGTTCTGTACTCATAGTGCGAGCCGTTGACAATCCTCCAGCGGCCATGTTCGAGAGAAAATGACCCGATGCTAGGACATACCACAACTACAAAGACAGAAAGAAGACGAAAAGGAAATAAAATCAAGCAACATGTAACTTGTTACCATCCTAAAATCATGACACAGCAAAGTAATGGTCAAGGAGTGCAGCCAGGCACATGCAACAGATGTTGCAGTATTTCCCATGTATGCATTATAAAAGGGAGCATTTATAACTTTAACACAATAAATGTCTGCATTTGAGGCATCAAAATCGAGCCACAGAATATCAAAATGAAAAAGAGCATCATAGTGTTACTAACCAGAACATCTTGGTATCTTATTGTGGTTGCTCCATGTTCCATCAGGTTGACAGATGGCAGATGTCAGTTCCTTACTGGAGAGTCTGTACCCGTCATTACAGAAATAGGAAACTCTTGTACCCACAGAATAGTCGGCTGTTAGTACACCACCGTTTATCGGCGCTTTGGGTGGTCCGCATGAGACAGCTAAGAGAGGAAAGATATCATACATCAAAAGGATAAGATGCAAACAGATAGCTCACAGACACCCTTCCATGCAGCTATCCAAACCAACCAGCTGTCCAAATATCCGTTCGTCCTCTAACCATACGCACTCAATCCAATTCAAATCAGTGAAGGAGGGCTGGAGCCCATCCCATCTGCCAGTGAGCATGTTACATTTAGTCTTGTATCTCATCTAATTTTGTTCATGTTTACATTATGTTAGTTAATAAATTACATATATGAATTACAAACTTGACAAACACAACAGAAACCAAATCAAGTAAGGGGATATTGTCATTTCTTAAATGTCACATTGCGTGTAGCCTGTTTTGTTGAATGAAGTGACATGTTCTCTTTTTCTGCTGGTTCATTTTTGTGAAATTTTTCTGTTGCTTCAACTGACCTGATTGTGGTTTTGTTGTTTTCTACATTGATATGTAGATTAAACAAACAAAAAAAAATAGAAACATTCCAACACACCTTGACAGGCTGGTACTGGAGAGTCCCAAGCGTGGTAGCCAAGTGGCGTGCGGCGGCAAGTTGCTGTTGCATTTCCAATGAGACGGTATCCGCGGTCGCATGCCCACCGCACCACGCTGTTCACGTGACCCCCACTCTGAGAGGAGATGGAGCCGTGGAGGGGGGAGTCTGGCGTGGAGCAGTAAAGGGCTAAAGTGGAAAAATAATTATTGAATGAATGAATTCCCAGATTTACTGTCCCTAAAACCCAAAATCAGAAACCAAATGTACAGAGTATACAGGAATTTGACATGGTATCCCAGCGCAACAGGACAGTTTAAATATCAAATTTGAAAAAAAATGGCAAAGAAAAGGTACATATGATAAGTTTAGGTGTTTTTAGGTGTCTGCATCTTTGAGTGACTAGAAATGGATGGAGGGTGGTGATATCCTTATTTAAGATGGTGCTTTCAATGGTGGCTCTGTAGAAGTGGGAGCATGCACACCACGCTGCCAGCTTTGACACCGGGTCCCTGTACGCCATCTCGTCGTTGACCTTGATTATGCCCAGGATCATGGTGTCATCCGCAAACTTGACCAGTTTGATGGACGGGTGGCTGGAGAGGCGGTCATTGGTGTACAGGGAGAACAGGTGGGTAAGAGGACACAACCTTGTGGAGCACCGGTGTTGGTGGTGAGGAAGCTGCCAACCCGCACTTGTTGCTTCATGTTGATGAGGAAGTCAGTGATCCCGTCACAGATGGTGCTGGGAACATGTAGCAGTAGTAGCTTCCTGTGCAGGTGGTCTGGGAGTTTGGTGTTAAAGGCCGAGCTGTAATCCACGAGTAGGGCCCTGACGTAGGAGCTCGGTTGGTCCAGGTGCATAAATATGTGGTGGAGGCTGAGGTTGATGGTGCCATCCACAGAGCAGTTTGCTCTGTAGGTAAACTATAAAGGGTCCACGAGGGGGTCAGTGATTGGTTTGAGGTAGGACAGGATGACTTTCTCAAAGCTCTTCATGACCACAGATGTCAGGGCGACAGGTCTGTAGTCATTCAGGCACATTGCCCTTCCTTCTTCTCAACTGGGACGATGGATATCTTGAGACAAGATGGCACACGACATTCAGAGATGGACCGGTTGAATGATGCAGTGGTCGGAATGTCCAAGGGAGGCACGGGGGATGTAGCGGTATGAGTTCTTAATGGTGGAGTAGGAGTGGTTCAGTATGTTGTTTGTCCCTCGTAGCACGTCACCAGCTGTTTGTAATTCAGCAACTCCTGAGAGAGATTGCAGGTGTCGAGATCTCCCATCACGAGAACTTCCAGATTAGGCTGAGAGGTTTCCACTGTGGAGATCTGCTTAGCTGCAGTACGTTGCGGGCGGGGGGTTTACGGAGGGATGTAATCTCTCAGGGACAGAGTCCTTTATTTCCTCCAGAGGAGTCCAAAAAGTCAGAAAGACTCAAACATTATAGAATCCCTGATGGTTAGGAGGGTATCCCGATCGTAGAAGTGCGGGATGATGGCCAAGGTGCACTATTTACACACTAAAGAACATGGAGCGCTGAGATACCATGACTGCCCGGTCAGAGGTCAGGAGCCAATTTCGGAAACAGATACAATATCTTTAAAAAAAAATTATCTGGACAACACCATCTTTGCCTTTCAAAAACAGATACATGGTACTTTTCATCTCCTTAAAGAACAATTTAAAGTACGTACTTTAAAATCTTTCGCACTCAAAGAGTAAACACGACGGGTTTATGTTCATAACAAATATTTCACCTTTTCATTGACATTTTGAAAACTTTATGGATTTTATATCATAGAAAAAAAGCCTCCTGACAAAATATTTCCATCAACCACATCAAGCTGATGAAAAACAGTGTGTTTCAAATTATACACACAAAGTCATGAATGTTGTCATACTATAAGCAAATCTATTCAATTATCTCACAAAAACAAACACAAATTTACTCAAGAAACTCTTGGCATCTACAAGATAAGATTCTGCTGAGGCTGCCAACAATCTGGCAACAGAAGAGGTGTCTAAATTAGCAAATTATTCATATTTCAATATCTACTGCAGTGTAAATGTCAGGTATACAATGCCTGGGTGTAGGTCCAACTCTCTAAAAATGGGCAATAATCCAAAAGTAAGTACTTCACTGTCCTAAATAGCTATGATACGTCTGTTTTCTATGTCCCTCAAGTATGATACATTCCCTGTATCCAGGTGGTGTGTCTCATTAGTTCCTCTTAGGTCAAAATTTTAGAACGAGTGCAGTGAGGTTTGTAGGTTTTTTTATATTCTAATCAAGATACTATGATACAATTGATTTCTAAATGTTCCAATGGTTAAATCAGTTTATAGGCAAAGCTGCCTGTTGACAATATTCATCAGATCTCTTTCTTTGGAGTCATTTTAACACTGATATCAATCAAACTAATTTTAAAATAAAAAGTGCAACTCAGCTTGCCATAACAGTAAAGTTGGAATGAAAGAATTTGAGTCAGTGAGATTGAAATATTCTCTCTATAATGAAAATTAACGGCCATATTTTGCAGGTCAAAACCCCTCATGAAGTTGAACCATGCTCTTGGTAGGCCTACATGTTTAGTAACTTTTGCAGATGCTCACATTAATCACAGCTACCAAAGAAGGTTACCGAGTGCCCAGAGAACCTTTTCGGTTAATCTTCAGTGCACAATTCATCATGCCGAGCAGTGGTGCTTTAAAGGTTAAAGAAGCAGCATCCTGACAAGAGTCTAGAGAGTGAACAGGTAAAACTGTCTCTCCCTCTTTAACTGTCAAAAATGCCCTTGAATAAAGCACTCAAGCCTCATTACCCAACAGTCTGACGGTATATGCAATAAGACCAGGTGTCAGACCATCTAAATGCAAAGTGCTCAGTAAAACAGCATCTGGGCTCATCAAACTTTCTTTTGACGGATAAAAGTTAAGGCATTAACCCACAATGCAAATCAGTAAACTGCTCTAGCAGACAGACAGAAGTTAGAAACAAATGTTGAAGATTAATAAATACCGGTGAGCTGAAGAACTGATACTGTTAACCATGTTTTTCTCAAAAGATGTTTCCAGAAAGTTACAAACTCAGAAACATCAATGTCTTTAAAAAGTTGATGTTTTGATAAGGTTTAAAAGTGCTTTTTTTGCCCCTTCTGTCTGTCTCTGTCTACTTCTGTTCTGATTGCCATGCATTTTATTATGAAGTAGTAGTAAAGTAAAGCTGGGATACATACTTTGGTACTCACCAACATAGCGAATTCTGAAGCCTCTCTTGTTGGTGCCATGGTCAGAAGACCAGCGGACCAGAAACTGGTGACCGGTGGTTGTGACGTTAAAGGGTGTTGGCAGGTCACCGCTTAGTGTGGCCAGAGTGGGACTGTTGGGTGTGGGACCTGAATCATTGAGACAAATGTGGAGAGAAGAGGCAACGGAGAAAGAATGAAACAGCAGATATAAACCGCCAGCTGTTTTAACTTGTTTGTGGTCATCCCCACAGACTGTGTTGACTGAATCAGAATAAAAACGTCTGTCTCTGTTGAAGTATGTTTCTTTTACCGTCGAAAATCTCCAGCACATCAAACTCTCTCTCAGTTTGGAAACTCTCAAACGTTATGGTGACATTGTATCCTTTCTCAACCGTAACGCTCCACGAGCACATTTGCAGGTTTGGGTAGCTTTCCGGCCATCCGGGGCTCAGGATGACCCCCGAGGAATCGTACCGCACATCGTGGGCAGGGCATTGAACTGAGGATGAGAAGATTACCATTAGTAAGTGAGAATACTAGAAATCTAGTGGATTTCATGTCTAATTTCTCACCTTGGCATGTCGGAGGTGATGAATCCATCTGCAGTCTCTCTCCTAGGCGACAGGTTAGGATCTCACTGCCAACCAGGGAGAATCCTGGATGGCATTTGTATCTGATGATGTCCCCTAAAAGCCCAAAGATGCATGATTAAATACATAACATCACCCATTTTTACTCTGCACTAGATACATATATCAAGGAACACCAGTGATTCTTGTATGCATTCTCAAGATCTCATGCTATCTTGTTAGTATCTGGAAAGTTACAAGTTTCCAGTTTGCATCTGTCAAACTGACCCATCTCGGGACATGACAGGTAGACAGACAGCTCACCTATCTCCAGCTCGCCGTCCTCCATCAGCATGTCAGCATTGGCCACTTCTGGAGGAGGCTGGCAAACCCTTAATTGGTAGGCTGGGGATACAGACAGTAGAGGAGAGGGGAGATCTTTTAGAGAAGGACATTATCTAAAATGTGAAAGAAACAGCCTTGTAAACCTCTGTGGATTGAAAAAGGAACAGAAATGAAACCTTAACGCATTATAGTTTCTGCAGAGTGACACCACAAATGGCAGGACAACTTTTTTTGATTATTTGTGTTGTTTGTATCGCTTTAACATCACTTTCTGAGGTTGAGATTGTCGGGTCAGCCATACATGGCATCAGAAACAAAGCAGCTGCATAGATACAGCACTGTGTTGAATCATAAAAAGGACCAGACTTCACAGCTTCTGAGCTCGAGGCTGTAATCAATATTGCTGCATGAGCATAGATCACTCTCTAACTGAGAGAGAAAGAGCAGAGCTATAGACAGACGGACAGAAAAAAAATGAAAGACGAGAGAGAAAGAGGGCTAAGGGATGTAAGTCAGGATGAAATTGACTATGAAAATGAGCCCTACCAATAGTATCTGCTGCTCTCATGCATATCAAAGCCCTGTGGTCTGTATTTGTGCCAGTATCTCTGAATGTGTGGATGTTTGTGAGTGCAGCCATGTCTGTTCTTCTATGCATTAGCGAAGGATCACCGTGAGTGGTCACTGATCTCACTAAGCTCTAGCACCATTCCTTATGGGTACCTCCACATTCATGCCAGAACTGCCTTCTCAGACTCATATCCAGGACAACATTATCATAGGGCTGTATGGCCCCCGCATCTTTATGGGAGAGCTGGCATTCAGAATATTGGCCCAGAGATAAATAAATAGAAAGACAATGACAGAGATGAATATCCCTAACTGTGGACTTCTGCTGTTTTTGGTTTATTTTGGCATTTGAAGCTACATTTGCACTTTCGCAGCCGTCTCAAATGCAAACTATGACATTCTACATTTCGGTCTGGTCACTGAAGGACACTGAGAAAGGAATCTGGAAACATTATTTGCTTATTGCTTCAAGTTCTGTCACGAGAAAACATAAGCAGAGTCTTGCTAAAATGACACATAGGATGCGCTGCTCTACTCCTACCTTAGAAATTCTGCGATAGAACTGAGGTGACAAGAAAATGCTAACAAACACTACCATATATTCATCCCTTCCTCATTTTGTTCCTCTGCCCAATCATTTTCTTTTTGTTCATTGTCTATTAAAGGAAAGAACTGAAAGCAAACTTGGATGCAACAGATAATGGGAATAACGTCTGCTCATTAAAACCTGAAAAACAGTTCGCAAAGAAAAATTCCATATGTGAAACGAGAGGCCAGTCCAATAACAAGCCAACATATTTTCACCAAATAGCACTTAACAGAAGGAGCCCATATAGATGGCATGAGGAAGAGCAGAGGTGAAGATGATACACACATTTCTGTGTGCTCTATCTGTGTGTATGATGAACTGTGACATTGTGACAGATGTACTGAGAAAGGAATATGGCAACCAGTCTGTGCCCTGTAGCTGAATTAAATCATATATGATAGTGCAGGAAACTTTCTAGTGTATCACTAGAACATGTTTTAAAAAATGTATTAATAAAGTACCACAACATAATAACTGCTCCAAACAGCTGCTTTGAATAGCAATAGCTCTTATCAAGTTAATTTAAGTTAATTTCTGAATCAAAGAAAAGTAATATTTTACTGTAATTGAATATATGAATATTATATAAGAATATTATATTCAGAAGTCACCTTAAACCAAAAACTTAGAATTAAAGGCAGTGGACCTTAAAAGATAAAACAGCAAAAGTTAATCGCAAAACCAGTTTTAGGCAGAGAAAGAAGAACTTCAGAAAGATGTCCTGCTATTCCCTGAATGACAATGAGGGAAAGGTCACTGCCTCTGCATCAATCCAAGACACACAAAAGAACATTTCTGTTCTGCACTTTAAAAAATCTCGGCAAAAATTTCAAGCCGACAGATGAGTTGCACAACTGCAGCACAAAATACGCACATAAAACACAATTTTCCATCTACCATATGTTTCTGTACTTAAATAAATAAATACCAAGCTCAGCTAAACTTTAACTACATACACCTTCTAAACACACACAAAACAAGAAAAACAAAAAAACACACAAAGAGCTTTAAAAAAAATTGCACAGAACAACATTATGAAATTCAAATAATAAGATCTCTCATGAAAGCAATTGAAATGACCACAAATGAATGATTTTGAATAAAAAAAAGTAGAAGTAGACAAAAATTATATACTGTATTAAAAAAAGTTATGTAATTGAATTCAATTACAATTGAATTACAAGCTTAAAATATCTTTGAAAGAGACTTTAAGGTTGAATTTTAAAGTTGAGAGTGTTTTGGTATTAGCTGTTTCTGGAGGAAGAGAGCCTGAGAACTGCCTTTCACTCTGGGGACAATTAGCAGGAAAGAGTGCTGACAGCGGCACAATATTCTTGTGTAGTGATTTATAATAACATCTCATATCTGCAACAAGTAACTGACTAGTTTTCATATGAGATTATGAATCAATGCCAAAGCCTCAATGGAATTAGAGAGACATTTGGTTTGAAAAGGTTCGAGCGAAATAAATCATTCCAAGGAGATTGTATCTACCCATCACAGAGACACATTTATTATCAAGTATTTTCAATCCATTCCTGCTTTTGGACATTGCCTTTTGTTTTTCCTTTGTCATTTACTATTGACTGCGGTGCGATATGGACATAAATACAGCAAATTATACCTATATAAGCACGACATATAGCATATTTTAATGCAGTTATAAACCAGTGTTCAGAAGCTTAACGTTGTGGAGGATGACTAACACACAATGCCATCGCTCCACAAATGTAGAAGCACAAAAGAAAGTCCAACTAATTATATTATCACTATCGTGACAGTTGGAATGAGTTGAGACACGGACACACAGGCTTTCATCAGGCGGCGAAATACTCCTGAAGTAGATCAACTTTCACGCAATATAATTAGTCAAAGGGAAGCAGGTCTAAGAGGGACCTAATGAGGATGAAGTTAAACACAGTTCAGCTCAATGAAAAACTAATCTCATTATTGCAGCTACAACTAATGATAGCTTTTTTTTAGTTTCATCGCAATTCTCAAAGAAAAGAAGATAATGGCGGAGAAAATAGTTAATGAGAGTGACATCTTAATCCAAGCAGACATAACTCAAATGTAACTTCCCGCTGCATTTGTGAATTAAACGGATTGTGCCGTTCGCTTTTGTGAAAGCGTTTGCCCGATCATTGTCTTACCGTGATAGCTTAAGACAAAGAAGCCGGCTCCGGAGAAGTCAGAGTGGAATTTAATGAGGATGATGTTGGACGTGGAGTAGACGGACTCCAGTGCTGTGTTTCCGCTGAACTGACCGATCTGAGGGGATGATTGATCTGGACCGTCCCTGTGGTGAAACAAAGAGAGAAACACCAAGTTAAATGTGGGGGGGAAAAAATGGATTCGTCAAGCCTTAAACAAATGTCCTGATGTGCTGTTATAGAACAATGGGAGCAGAAAAAGTCAGTCTAAAATATAATTCAAGGTTAGAATCAAAGGTAGAGAAGACTTGATGACATTTACAGTGTCGGGAAAAAAAAAAACGGCAGCCACTGGACCGACTGCACATGCAGATGGACATTTTGTGACAAAGTACCATCACACAAAGTCAAACCGCAATGTCACAAAGCTCATGAGATAGAAGAGAAAAAAAACTACACTTCCAGCCCACCCATAAAAACAAAGTTCACAAATCTGAGACTCTTTCTTTCTGCTGGGATGCTCGAGTTCATAAGAATTGATTGAACTGCCTGCTGTCCGGTTACAAGCATGAAATAAAATGACTTGGCTTTACGTAGGTTTGACATTCAGCTCCAAAAGTTATACAATTACACCATAAAGCAAAAAATACATACAATAAAATATAATATAATACAAGTTTCAAGTTGACAGCTGCCAAACTGGAACTTACCCAGAGCACACTCATTACCTGTGATTAAAAAGATCATCTAGAAGCATAATAGAATTATTATTACCTTATAAGTGATTTTTGATGAGGATAATGATCTATCTCAGGGTACTAAAGGAATTCTGTCTTCCTTGGATTCAAAAGGAGTTATTAAGATCGCGGTTTTCCCTTCTTGCTTCCCACTTTCAGCTGTTAGGAGTTATTTGTACGGGAGGGCAACAAATACAGCGAGCGGCCGCGCGATGCATGCTAACATCTGACAATTCCTGGAACGAAATCCCGTAGTAAGTCGCCCAGTATGAGACCAATTAGCAGAGTTTGTGACTGTCAGGTTGGCTGGCTCTGGACTGAAAGGACCGCTGTGAAAATCACACCTTTACCAGTGACACTGTGCTCTCTGCGGGGAGCCAACATTAGGACTTCGTGTCTGAAATTGTGAGTTTTTTGCTCCGTTTTTTTGTGCCGCTGGCGTGGTTGCTTATGTGCGAGCTCGGCCTTTTTCTCACTTTTTCTGTCAGACAGCGGGGTCAGAGACATGCTGCGCGACCAATTCAAGGAATTCACACAATCATCTGTGGGTGGGCAGCACACGGTTCAACAGTCTCTGGTGTTCGGTGTGGGAAGAAAAGGCAGAAAACTCCAGTTACATCTATACACTAAATGCATCTATAAAGTAAACAACTGCTCTCTAATTTCTGAAGAAAAACAAGATGTTTCTCCACTGTCTGCCAGCTGAACTTTATTCATTTGAGTCAATGGTTGTGCAAAAATATAAACAATTTCTCGATATAATCACTGCTGCTCACTTGTTGTGTGGCCAACATTAAGTGTAGGCAACCATTTTTATCTATGAAAACAAAAAGACAAAAGGAGCAGATTGGTTGTATAGCCACTGAATTGATACAGACAAATTAGGTGTTGGTTATTTGGGAACAATACTAGGATACAGTGAAAAGTTTTATATGAATTAGAACCCAGAGTAAGATAATAATTCCTGAAATAATCTCGAATCCCTTGATTTTTGTTGAAAATCATTTGTATTGGCATTCTGTTTACACACGAAAGTGATTCAATTATTTATCGTGGTGGGTTAGAGTGGAGGGAAACAAAATGAATCAACATGTGTGGGATTGCGTCGATAATAACGGGCTAAGAAAGAAAAAATAGAAAAAAAAACAGGCACTTGATCTCAGTTGGTCTTGAAAAACAAGATTTGTAGGGGGGGGATCTGTCGACAACAACCGGATCTGACCATGCTGCTGTAGTGTTCTCGCTGCTTAGCCCCGCTTTGACACGTCTGCCGTTTGTGTGCGGGGACATTGCACACTGTTGTCCATTTATAGCAAACAGGATTTAGAGCAAGGGGGCTATAGAGATGGGAGCCGCAACGTGGCAACCATAGAAATAGACTTACCAGTCTGTACCGGTCTATTTATGGTGGTGCTAGCACGTTTGTACCTGCAGATAACCGCACAACGCGGGCATAGACCACCGTTTAAACACCCGCATCGACAAAACGTCAGCCGTTGACAATGATTGTGCCCCTCAAGAAGAATAATGAAAAGAAAAGTAAAGACGGAGGAGGACGGAAAAGATATAGACCATTACAAATAGGATCAACTAAGCTTTTGAGAGAACATAAAGCACAAAGATTAGGATAGATGTACAAGAAACAAGTAACCCATGACAGGGTGGAAATTATGTCCGTAAACTTTATATTTAAGGATAGATGTTATAGCCATAGAAACCGTTGCAGGAGCCAATTAGTAACTCTGGAAAGAGGGAGCATGACTTTCTTTCTTAAAGTAAAGCAATTTATTCTTTTAGCAAAAGTTCGTAGAATATATGGTATAAATTGAATGACTGTTAAATCATATTCATAAACAGAGAAAAAGTAAGCAGTCATCAAAGTAAAAAATAATGAGGTTGTGGAGCATCAAATAGCACCAGCCTGCAGAGACATTCTAAAACTAAATATGTGGATAAATAAACGGCACCTACCAGACAGTGATATAATCATAAATGGCCTCAGTGCTCAGTACGGTGAAGTTGATGTAAATCCCGTGTCCAGGAGGGACTCGGACACTCCAAACACAGTCCTGGAAGTTTGGGTATTCTTCGGGGTGACCAGGAGAGTAAATGGTTCCATTTAGGGATGTGATGTTCCCCCCACACAATGCTGTTGGAGAGAATATAAACAGATAAAACATGAATGACTGATCAGTTTCTAAAAAAAAAAACAGCATCTATAATTGTTTTTCTTATCTAAAACTTGAATTTAGTTTCTATAACAGCAAAATATATCCTGTGTTAGCTGAACTGAGGGAGATAACGCAACATCGCAAAGGGTCAGTGATAAGGAAACCAAACTGCAACACCAGCTACAGAGAGGACCTCTGAATTCCGTTACCTTTACACCGTGGCAGGGGGTGGTTCCAGTTCCTGCTTGTTCCATGCAAACACGTGAGAGAAGCTTCTCCGTCCAAAGAGTATCCGGGCAGACATTCAAACGACACCGTCATCCCCACGCTGAAATCCGTGCCGATGACGATGCCGTTTCGAAACGGCCGAGGATCCGGACAGCTCTGGAGCTGGTAGGCTGAAGAAACAGAACACAGAGCGAGTTTATAAATGCTCATTAAGGATTATGCATTTCTAAAACTTCTCACGATCCCTTTTCTCTGTGATGTTGTCACCTGGAAATCTCAACCGCCTTCCTCTGTAGTTCGCCAATGGCAATGTCCCTTTACCAATTCATCAGTCTGGATCTAGTAATCACACAGGATCTTAGCTCTATCCTTCTCCACTACTATGGAGGCATCTCCCACTTTGACTTTGGGTCTGACAGGCATCTTGTACTAAGGATGGAACCAATTATTTTGGGTATGTTGTATAATGAGAACTGTCTGACCTTGCGATAGCCCGAACTGTTAGGCTTTCCAATTGTTACACCTACAGTCGTTTCTCTCTTAGCCAATAAGTCTGTATCGTGTTGTAGTCCAGACACTGGTTCCTGTCCTGGGAGATAGCTATTACCAGCCCTCAGATCCACCGAATACATGTATATATGTGTGTGTGTGTGTCTGTTTTTCCTTTGTATCGCAAAAATGGAAAGAGAACTAATATGATTCACATATTATCCCATTTTAAAATACTTTGGCAGTGCTGCTGTTTTGAGATAAAACATATTATTCACAACCCACGTGAATAAGCCACTGTAATTTTCATATGAATAGAATTAGGGCTAACAAATTTAGGATGCCTGAGAGATTTGTCATAGTAAATAGTTGACTGATAGCATAAATATAAAGCTAATCTCTGAACCACATCCAAATAGAAAGCCTGGATGTATCCTGGAATTTTTGGTAAGCCTCATCTTTTCTCAAAAAAACACTTCGTAGAGCTAATTAACAGGGCTGTTAAAAGCTCCAGAGGAATAAAGTCACATTTGCAAAAGTTGTTTGCGCACCGGCAACAATAGCTCTTTCAGGCTAAACAGGCAGCACAGGCAGATGCCCGCTGTTGTTTTCTCTGCTCAGGAAAAGGATTACTGTCAACAAGACGCTGGAGGGGGAAACGGCAGAAATAACATTTACCTTGATACGTGATGTGGAACCCCGGTTTGTTTTGGGAATAGTCGCTGTGGAAAAAAAAGCTAGTCTGGTGGGTGGTGCTGAACAGAGGTTTAGGAATAAGTGGACCGCTGAACCGATCAATCTCCGTGCCCATCTCAAGCGTTCCACTTCGGATTTCTAAGTAATCATGGATCGCTTCGGTAGAGAAGTTCACAAACTGGAGATGAATACCTGAGAGAGAATAATAATAATAGTAATTATGGAGATTTTGAAGTGAGAAAGAGAGACTGACAGTGAACTGTCATACATAAAAAAGTCACATCAGCATGGCTAAAGGGCACAAACAGAATTATTTATTAGATAATTAAATGACTCAATGCTTAACTCATAAGGGAGAAACACAAATGGAAATGAACAGCCTAAATCTTTCATCACACTCATCAAATGTTGACCGTTTCTTACCGAAGCCAACAGGTAAGTTGACCGTCCATGTGCAGTCTAATCCACTGGGATAGTTGCCAGGGTAACCTGGGCTCAAAATCACCCCACTCACATCTGTCATGGACCCACCACACTGAGCTGTACACAAAAA